GGCCCTTCCCAGGGCAGGGAGGGGGCATTGAAGACACCTGGGGTAGTGGTGCCAGCTGAAAAAGCAAGCGTGAAATAAAAATTTTATAGGGCTGGGGCTGTAGCTCAATGGTAGAGGACTTGCTTAGCATGCAGGAGAAGCCCTGGGTTTCATCCCCAGCACCACAATAAAAAGTAAAACCAGGGGCTAGAAAGATGGCTTAGTGGTTAAGAGCACTAGCTGCTCTTGCAGAGGATCTGGTTCAGTTCTCAGCACCCATATGGCAGCTAAGAACTGTAACTCCAGTTCCAGGGCATCCAACACCCTCTTCTGGCCTCTGTGGACATTGCGTGCATGGGCATACATGCAGGCAAAACACTCAAACATAAAAGTAAAATAAAAAAAAAAAACACTTGCCTACCCCCAACAAAAACCAGAGATGTAACCAATAAAGCAGAGATCTTCAATTTGGATTTACTCATGTGTTTTTTATACAATTAGAAAATGACTGAAAAAAGGATTTCTCTCTGGGTAGGGGAATTTTATGTAAACAGGAGGAAAGGCCTCCGTTTCTCAGGCCCATGTAAGAGGGAGACTGTGGGAGCAATGCTGCTTGGCTTCTTTAATAACATGCCAGGCAGGACTGAAACACAATAAATGCTCTATAAATACATCTGCAGGAGATGAGGTGCCACATTTCAAAAAGGCAGGATGTGAGTCTTCAGATTCCATGGCTACACGGTCCCAGCAGGGAGGAGCCATGCCCTCACTGCTGCCTCATGACACCCTCCTTGCAAGCGGGAACTCCCTTCTTTCCTTTCCCAACTATAAACAACATCAGAGTCTAATGGGATGTTTTCAGGATTAGCTAAAGGAAGCTGCGAGGGCAGAGGGAACCAAGATGGAGCTGCCCTGCCTGCATGGGCACTGGGGTAGACTGAGGCAGGGAGGAACTCCTAGGCTCCTGAGGGAGTCTGAAAGCCAGCCTGCCCAGGGGAAGGTTCTGAACAGCAAAACTAAAGAAGGAAAATACAGTAGCTCCACTTTCCATTTATGTCTGAAAGGTGCCCAGTTGGTGAAATGTCAGAAGCTTTTCAAAGGCTGTTCTGACAGCTTTCCCCCAGACTTGGCAGGAGCAAGGTAAACCCAGGAAGCGGCTGAAGCCTGAAATAGCCAGTCTCCACAATGAAAATCTCCATGTTATTCGTGCTAAATCGGACATGGAAGGAAAATACTTTTAGACACATGCATGCGCACTCACAGGCACACTCACACCCGCTCCCCCTTCAGCTCCTGCTTTCTTTCAGACAGTCATGACTTGGCTCCCAGTACCTCGCCTTTCTCTGAATTTGCAACCAGACACCCCAGATTCAGGTTGAGCCTTTACAGTTAGGGAGTCAGTAGATGCACACATCTGCCAGGAACCACTGACCCTCAATTTCCTCATACAACAGGGATAGATGGTTGTGAAATGAAGTTCACAAGAATTGAAGTACACTGTCACAGATTTCCCCTCAAGTAAGTAAGACCTTCCATCAGTCCTATCTCATCCCCAGCTCCCCAAGACTGGGGCTCTCACGGTTGATCAGTGCTGATCCTTGGGGCTTAGCATAACCTCCAGACCAGGAGGACTTGGGAAGGCACACTGCCATCTATACCTAAGCAGGGTCACTGTCCACTCCTGTACCCCTGGGGTAAGCATGGGATGCAGTATGGAGCAGCAGATCAGGCAGTGCTGGCTGAGTCACAGTAACTTGGCCACAGGCCCACAGCAAGTGGAGACTCCACCAACGCAATCAATCATAGGTTCTGAAGTAGCACTGGGCAGAAGAGGTTTCTGTCACCGCCTCTTACGTGACAAGGATTGCTCATGACTAAGGCCATGGCACTCCAGCCCTTATCTCCTGTCAAAACATAGGGAAGTGTCTAACAGTGTGATGCCTAAGGGAGCATATTGTACCTACAATGTTTGCGTGAACCTGACAGAGCCTGCTCCCCTTCTTCTTCCTGGGGCTCACTGCCCACAGATATTTGCTGCATGTTGTACTTTTTGATCTGGGTACTGCCAGAATGGCAGTCTCCTTGCAGACATGAGCAGTGGCTCCCCTGGGGCTTGTCTGAGGTCCTACAAGTCAGGCCAGCTCCTCTGGGGAGACTCCCCTGCTACCAGGAAGTCAGTGGCCATTCTAATCTTTTTGGTGGAAGAGACATCAGACTTAACATGGAGAGCTGATGGTGATGGTTTCTTTTAAAAACACTATTGATTCTAATCCCTCCAGAACAATTTGTTTCTCATGGGAAAAATCTCATTGTTTCAGGTAGAGATGAACCTAGAACATTTCAACTTTAGATTAGAAGTCATGTTCTTCTAGAAAGAATGAATACTTCTTTCTCTCCCATTTTAAGTGCCCCCATACCCCCAGGGCTGGCTAGAGAGGCTCCACATTCATGGAGTACAAACAATGGTTTGTACTGTTTTCTGGAAAATGCTAGTATTCATGGAGAAAGGCAGTGGGACACAGAGTGTCCCTTTTACATGACCTGGTGTTTGCTGGGGTCAAAATGATGGGGAGGAGCCTTCCCTGCCTCACCTAGGCTCTGAGTGCTGAGGAGTCTGAGTCCAGCTCTTCCCAGCACTGTTGCCCAGGCCAGGCTAAGACATGTAAGCATTGGCTGACCAGTGACTGACTGTGGCTCCCCAAGATTCACAGGTACCAGCCTGTGACTCCCAGAGCCACCTTATGGCTTGAGCACTGAATTGGGGTCTAAGAGCTTGGATTGTAGATACACGGTTTAAGTGCTTGGAGCCTCAGTGTCCCTTTCTATACCACAGGAGTGACAAGGCTTGCTGGAGAATGGGAATGTAGGGCACAAGGCATATCACAAAGGGAAACAATTACTTGGTGCTCCCAACAGAAGATGGGTATGTGTGGCCCCAGGTTGACCTCAGGTCTCACTTCTCCTTCCTGTCCAAGGACACCTGGGGCAACAGGAATTACCAATGTTTTCCAGGCTGGGTCTGGATAGCCTTGGGCAGAGAAACCTAACTAGGGCGGCAAAATCAAGTTGGATGAGAACAGCCCTGAGATCTGTGCCCACAATAGTGTGAACTGGGCAGTGAAATGAGCTTGGCTGTCTAAGTGTTCCCTCATCCTTAACCCTAAACATCTCTGAAAACAGGCAGGCCAGTCTTGTGATTCCAATGTTACAGATACAGAGGGTCAGAGAGATGAAGACGCTTAAGTGGAGAGTCAGAGTACCAACTCATCCCTTGATATCTCCAACATGTAAGCTGGCTTCTGAGGGCTCAGAGTTCCTTTGGTGATGGCTTCAAAGTGAGATTTCTTCGTGAGATTCATCCTGGCAGCTCCATGCTGAACCTTACTAATATCCACATTACAGGGGGACATCAGTTTTGTTGAGGGGGTAGATAATAGACTGCTGGCCTTGATTCCATTGCTTTGGTCCGACTTTTTTTTTTTTTTTTTTTTTTTTTTTTTTTAAAAAAAAAAAAAAAAAAAAAAAAAAAAAGAGGACGATAAATCTTTCACTGTGATATATCAAAATAA